TGGCCCAAGAGGAAAGGAATTGAACTCATGACCTTGGGGCTTAAACCCCAAATCTTAACCACAATGCCACCCACCCTTTATAATCTTGTTTCTAGTAGTATTTCTTGAAAAACTTTGATATTGTGGTGTAAAACTTTTGTGAATCATTTTGGTAAAATTGGGACATTCACTAATAGTAAAAGGTTGTTCTTTTTTAATGATATAATCAACTACAGAATTTTGTGTATGCATAAGATCATGTAAAAATATTTACAAATTACTAATTGATGAAACCCCTAATTGCATTTGACTTTTAATATGAGGTTGTTGACTTTGTAAATGTTTATTAGCATGCCTTTTTAGATGACTAGTACCCCTTACAAATACAACACTAAATAAACGTGCACAATATTTACATTTTATTTTAAATGTAATTGTACCATCATGATTATTTATAGAAATTTTTTTCAAAATGTTCCCAAAGAGTACTAGTTGTGCCCCCTAGATGATGATTCAACTGTTGGAAGAGGGATATTAGAAGGAGAATTAACAGATTCATATTGTATAGTATGTATATCAACATCGATACAAACATTATGAATATTAGAATCCATAGTAATGTAAGTAAAACAACATATAAGAATTAACAATTAATTTAAATAATGTGTAAATACAATGAGTAAAAAAATAATAATTAATATACGTGCACAAATAATTAATGAAAAAAAATGAGTAGCTAATAAATTTAATTAAACTAATTAATGTTACCGATTGGGGAATACGATACAGAAATTAGTTTCTTTTGATAAAAGGTTCTTATTGCACAATTGCAATTGTCACTTAGGGACGACACTTCAAAATTAATTGAGAGTTGAGAGAGATTGAGAGTTTAAAAGAGATTGAGAGAGTTTAAGAAAGAGAGAGCGAGAGAGAGAGAGAGAGAGCAAGAGAATTATTTGTGAGATTTATTTTGAAAAATAGAATATATTTATAGTACTTTGAAAGAGGAAGTAAATTTATAATATATATATATATATTACCGTTGTAGTAAACGGTAATATGACCGTTTGAATATTTTATTTTTTTTCATTCATATTTATTATTGGCCGACCGACAGATATATTGGCCGGCTGGACATGTTTTTGGCTGGGAAAGGAAATTTGGCCGAACATCCGGCGCTCCAGTTCAGTTTTTTCGATTGCAACGGCTAATTTTCAAAGTTTAACTTCGCAACGGCCATCTCCTGAATGGGAAGAAGGAATGAGCCATGTCAGACAAAACAGAGCACTGAACTCTCATATATATATAGAGCAGCAGAGCTCTTACTTGCACTGCCATATTTATTTGATATTAGTTGTGATAATTATATGATTTTCCTACTGTTCTACTTGCACTGCCATATTTATTTGATATTAGTTGTGATAATTATATGATTTTCCTACTGTTCTAATTGATGTATTAGTTTGTAATTTTTATTGTGGATTATTTATTTTAATTTGTAGGAACCTAATTCAACCCCCTTTTAGATTGCTTTTTGGGTAACAGGTTGAAATATATATATATATATATATATTTTATTAATTCATTTCAAGGAAATGACCTTTTTATTTTTATTTTTTGAAATTTGACCATTGGGTGGGGTGGGGTGGGGTGGGCTGCCCTGCCCGCAAAATCTGAAACGTTTTGGGCCGAGATAGGCCTCAAATAAAGGGCCCAGGCCCAAGGTACTGGGTTGGGCTCAGGTCTGGGCATAAGCAGGCCGAAACGAGTCGGGCCCACCTTGGATCTCGGGCGAGTTTCAAGCCATTCATGAGTCTTGAGCTATTTTTACACTCCTATTAGTTTAAGGAAGTATAAATATGTACGACGTGCAGTTGAACATTGGCTGTACATATTTAGAACTTGGTGTTAGCCATAAAACTCGCCATAAAACCTTTCAAATTAAGATTTTATCCAAGAAAATAAAAGTAATACAAATATGGTCGTATTTTTTTTATTAGGAAGCTTTTGAGACTAGAATATAGGATCTTGACATTAAATCTTGTTTAAAAGTTGACTATTTTAATTGATTTTTAATTTTTTATGAAAAGATATATGAAATATAGATAGAGTGATATGATAATTTATAGTGATTTTTTAAACTTTTTCACTATGAACCTCACTCTCCAAACGGGGGATGCCAAGCACCGTCAACTAAAGGGTTTGGACTATCTTGAGAATTGTCCTGAGTGGTTAGTGGATATACTCCCCACACAATTATTCAGGGTTTAATTTTTAGTGTCAGACCATGATAAAGAAATTTCTTATGAATTCCCTAATCTCGACATGAATAGCTTGTTTTTGACCGGACCAGAGAAAAGATTAGTCAAGATGCGCGTAAGCTGACTCGATCACCTCTTACTATTGAACCAAAAAAGAAAAAAAGAAAAAGAAAAAGAAAGGCAAGGTTTGGATAGTAGGAAAGTTTCATAAGTTGTGGTGAACATTTTTATGGTAATTCCATCCTCCTCATTGCCAGACACAAAATAATTTGCTATAAAATTTATAATAGAAATATGCAATTGCTCCTATAAGTTGAAAAGACTAGTGATTTTTGCCAGGCAAGGCAATGCCTACATAACAAATGTGACTCCGATTGCCTAGCAGATATGTGATTTAGGATAGAAAAACAAGAGAGATGGGGATGGAGGATCCAATCTCCAAACATAGCAAACAAGCAAAATTTGTTAGTGGAAAATGCTCGCAAGGTATATTGGTATTTGCAAACATGTGTCTCTAAAGCACCGTAGGAAGTGCATTACTATACCAAAACAGAACATGAATCAGAGGTCCTCCTAATTCATTTCATTTTAAGTTGGACGAATCTCTTCACCCCCAAAGTATAGGTTGAGCATAACAATTAACAATGCACCCATTCAAAATTTTGGGTTTCATTATCTTCCTTGGGAGAACGAAGGGTAATGGACAGATATGGTGATCATTGTTTTTTAGTCAATTTATTGAACGAAGAATTATGTAGTAGTTAATCATACCATATAATATTCTTCACCGATGAGACTAAAAGAGAATGAATGGGATCGATTTTGTCTTTCACTCAACCAATTAAAATTACTCGGAACAACTTTTTTATTAGTGGTTATTCTTTTTATTGATACTATATATTGACGTGTTAAGCTGGTACTTTGAAAATATTGGTGGAAGCATACAAATTATGAATTTATATCAAAAATTCAAAAATTCATATTAGAGTGAATTTGCATTTAAATCCAACGAGAAGAGGACCCTCTATCAATCAATACATACTACACATGACACACCACAATTGTTGCAGGACCGCTACACACGTGCTAATTGGCAATGGCATTAAGTGAGGAATGCCTCACATCACATTCCTTGTGGTCCCACACCTCACATGCAAACCTCTTATATAGTTACTTTTTCTTCACTACATTCTATCCTGAAATTTCTGATTTTATGAGTGCCTCACTTTGGAAGGAATGTTCATGGACACCCTTAATTAAAGCTTTTTAGATCAAGATTTGTGACTTCATTTCTCTCTTTTCTTTTATTTCCTTTTAAATTTATTAACTTAACAACAATGCTACATACCACTAAATTCCTATCACTAACACCACCACTAATGATGTGGCAAGTAAAATAAAAAAAAAAAACTAAGACACAAAACACATGTGGCAGTGGGTGGGACCTACTGCCACATCCCTAGTGTAACCACTAATTAGTGGTCTGCATCATTTTTCTTAACTTAAAGAGCACTCAGAACATCTATTTGTTCAAAACTTGCTTCTGTTTATCTATTCAAGTATCACATTTTGTCCAAAATGTGACCTATATGTACATGCATTACTTATGTGTCTAATTATCTGTTCAAATGTCTAATAATTTATTCAAATGTCACCTATCTACATGTGTTATATGTCTGTTCAATATCACCCATCTATTCACCTCATCGTTACTAGCCACCGTCACTGACAACTTTTCGGTGACTTTTTTGACATTGGAGACTTTTCAATGCGTGTTCTTATCACCAAAAAGATTAACATATAGCTATGTAGGAATGAAATTTTCACTAATTAACCCTAATTTAAAATCTAAACATAGACTTAATTATTTTTCCCTCATCGTGGAGGAAGGACAAGGATGCCCCCCTTAAACTAAAATATCACTATGCTATCCTCCGATCTCACTCATCATTTTGAAAGCATGTTTGCTATATTTTATTCTAGGTTAAAAGTTAATAATTTATTTAAAAAATTAAAATTTTAAAACTTATAATTATCACATAAACTATACAAAATCCCAAAATAGAAATCATTATAAATGGCTCATTTAAATTAACAGCAAACAACACCATAATAAAAGTAGAGACAACATCCCTATATCTTGGAAGGCTGGGGCTTGCCTCCAATCCATCATTTGGACTGGAGGGTTCATTACGGCCCATTGGGTCCATTTTGAGCCTCTTTTTGATAATCTGAACTGTTCATATTTTCGGGTTTGTTGATAATCTGAACTGTTCATATTTTCGGGTTTGTTGAGTACATTATTCCTGTGAAAAATCACGTTGATCGGATAACAGATACTATGCATTCGGATCACTTTTTATGAACTGTTAATTTTTTGACCGTCCATTTTTTTTTCAAAGAAAAGTGATCCAAATACATAGTATCTGTTATCCGATCGACGTGATTTTTTACAAGAATAATGTATTCAACAAATCTTAAAATGTGAACGATTCTGATTATCGAAAAAGGGCCCAAAAGTAGGCCCAATGAAATGAACTGGACTGGACTATCCCAAATCTGAACCGGAGACAGTCTGGACCCATCTTAGAAAGTTTTCAATCCATTTCCCACTTCATACATCATTCCAGTGGCCCCAAAGAAAAAAAACTAACAGCCATCATTTGTGTGTTTTGTGGTTGGTGCACATGAGATAATCATCAAAAAGGTAAAAGTGGAAAAAAATTGATAATAATACTAAAATTTAAATAGTGGACTTACTAACATATAATAAAATCACATTGAACAACCAAAAGAGACAGGATTGCTTCCATTGACAATGTACAAAGCAAAAACAAAAAAAGAAAGAAAAAGGTAAATAATCCCACTGTTATGCATCATGTATAACAGATTTTTTTCATAACTCAAAAGTTTGACATTCACACTATATCTTGTATGACTCAAGGAACCTAAAAATCAGAAATAAAAAAATAAAAAAACCTCACAAAACATTTGAGTTCCTATAAACCCCAAAGCCAACACACTATGTAGCAGCACTAAAAACACTAATGGTGGTTAGAAACATAGGTTGAGATTGAAAAAAAAAAAGTTGAGATTAAAAAAAAAAAAAAAAAAAGTAAGAAAGTAATGAACAACACTTCTGCACCCACTCCTACAATAGCATCTTTTTTTTTTCTTCAATTGAAGCAGGCCATGGTTGTGCAACAATGGCGGGACAGTGAGGAGGAATAAGGGCAATTTTGTAAGACAAATGATGAAAATGTGTATAATCTACACTTTGCCAGTGTAAAAAACACATTGATTAAGGGGACAAACAATGGTGGAATATTGGATATATGGTGGAGTAGTGCTATTACTATATAATAGTAAAATCAGAAACCTAACCCAAAAAAAAAAAAAAAAAAAAACCATTTTTCTTGTGATTAGCTGAGATTGCTAGCACTGATGGCCTCTGCGGCAGGAAAGAACACCGGCACCGGAAGTGATGGTGCCCACCATGGAAGAAGACTTGGCACCAAGGCTTGAAGCTCTGGCATAGCTGGCCGAGGCTCCAGCCCCGGATGGAGTGAAATAGGCCCCATTAAGCATAAGGTCACCCTCTGACCTCCAATTCCAATTCTTCCACTTGCTTGAAGATGTTTGCACTCTTTTTGTCACCTACCCAAATCAAACATTATTAAAAACCAGACAATCCAATTCCAATATGTCAACTTCACTGTACGGTCAAGCTTTTTCCACTTTTGTTTATGAAACATGTGAAAACAAATAAGAACAAGAAAGTGACAGAAAGTGAGGGATGTTACTTGTACAACATATATATTATACCTCCTTTGCAAATGGATTGGAAGGAGCAAGGTATCTGTTACCCTGGCTGTTAATAGTTGGCTCAGCACTTCCACCAATGGCATACATCTCCCAGTGAGTGTAGTCATTGTTCACCACATGGAAATACCCATGTCTACATCTGCATTTTTCATAAATAATTTTCAAAATGAATACAAATATGGAAACAGGTTCTCTGCATGCAAAGTAACACTTCAAAAACCCTATAGTGACAAGAGTAGAGTCTTTATATGGTCATGGATGCAAATCAAAAATGGTTTCTTAGTGTTAGTCTCTAGTACCATAATGCACTGAGATATTTCTCACACATTTGGAATAATATTCAAACCACCAGATACTAAAAAATAAAATAAATAACAAACAAGAAAACCCATTTGATGTCCAATAATGTATATTACCTTGGCATTCTCTGGATAAGACCCTCTCCAAAATGATTGTAGGCAATAGTGACTTGCATTTGCTTGTCTCTGACATAGGAATCACTATGACCCAATAGCATCACCTATTTTTAATTAGACAGAACACAAATTAGTCTTCCAATTAGAAGAAATAACAGAATTTTAAGTGAAATTTGCTTTATAAACACGCACACACCTCATTGTGGTGAGTGAAGTAATTGTTAGAAATGGTAATGGCAGTCGAACCCATAATAGCGTCAACAAGGCCATCGGCACAGTTAGAGAGTGAATTGTGATCAATCCATAAATGACTCGATCCAAAAATTGAAATGCCATCACCATCAGCCATTGTCCTCCACCCAAAATGGCTTGGTGAGCTCCTCACCATGGCATTGCCAGTTGGTTTACAGTCATGAATGTTAAGCCCATGAATTATAACATTAGTAACAAACTGAATTGTAATGCAGGCACCATTAGCAATATGAACATTGACTCCGCGGGCATCAATGGTCTTGAAGCTGTTCATGATTAGCTCCTGCTTCAATTTTATCACCATGTCGCGCTTGAACACGATCCAGAGAGGTTTGTCTTGGATGACAGCATGTCGCAAGGTGCCAGGTCGGGGGTTAACAGGGTCATTGTCACTGGGGTCAGTGACGACATAGAAGCGGCCATCGCGGCCACCAATGGCATTTCTACCAAAACCAATGCCACAATCAGCGAGGCGTTTGCGGTTGCGGTGCCAGTTTGGATCACAGCGCCAGCAGTCATCAATGGGATTGCCTGTTCCACAGGAGAAGTAGCCCAATTTCCTCCTCTCAGTGCTGTTCTGGATACTCCTGCTCAATCAATTAGGAATGTTACTAGAGTTCAATGTTATTGTCACTTCCAATTGTTTTAGAAAAATTAAGAATACAAAAACGGGACACAACTAGAAGGGTCTCACTTCTAATTCTTTTATCATAATTCCCAATGGGTAATGCCTATACAAACAGGTGTCTCCATATTTTGATTTCTATGTGTCCTACAAATCCAAGATACAATTGATTTAAACTATTTTACTTGATTGCTTTTAATGCAGTAAGATGTTATGCACAGATGCAAAATGAAAGGTAAAAACTGTGCTAAGTTATGTCGGTGGATGTAACTATTCTCCCTAATATCTAGCAGCTGGCAAAATCCTAATATCTAGATATTGGATATGCTGCCCCATCTCCACTGTCTCTTTGTTTGGAAGTACCTCCCGGCCATACCACTAGAGTTAGAAACATTTTATTGTGTGGTCAAAAAGTGATTTGGGACACAAAAATAAGGGAGTATGGGGGACTTTGTGGACCGAGATTGTCTTTATTATAATCTTCTTGTTGTAATTCAATGGCCTAAACTTAAAATTGAAACAAAATAATGTGATTATAGATTGTTTAGTTTTAAAAAATTTATTATCAATTTATTTCAATTTTAAATTTGAGCCATTAAACTAGGTTTTTCGTTGAGGTCTTGCTGTGATATAAATTACAGCAAGATCATGACAAGAAATCCTTAAACAGGACCTTTGTTCAACCTTTATGGACTATTGTGTATTCTGTCATTTTACAAGGATAATTTAGTCTTTTCATACAACAGATCAAGTTACTTTAGTTTTGGGGCAGGGGCAGGTAGCAAGGTTGGATATACTTTTGGCTGTTGGCCACACATAGGTGAAGTAGTCACATGAAAAAGAAGGGATTCATACTCACAACACCATATACAAACATATAGCATTGAATATTATCACGTAGTCTGCACCCCATCCCCCAGTAGATCAAACAAGCATTTTTTACAGTATCTAGGCATCTCTGTTACTTTTCTTGCATGTAACATGCACATGCAATAACCGCATTTACATCCAGTCAAATGTAAGCTTTACAGATGTAAATACATAGATCTGTATTATAAAGAAAGGCAATTGTAGATGAAAAATGCTTCATACCACTAATTTAACATCACTAATGCACCATTAATGATGTGGCATCATGTGGATCCCACCACTGATGTGATAGTTTGGCCTTTGTTTTGTTTTATTTTTTTTTTCTTTACATTGCCATCTCATTAGTGATGTTTTTAGAGCTTCAAATTTAGTGCTCTAAATCACCACTCATTGTAGATTTGGTATCCCTTCTATGCAAATACTGAATTGCCCTTCAGACAATGTTCTTAAAAGTTTAAATATGTTTAAAATTTAAGGTAAATGATATTTGTGGCTAATGGATAAGACAATTTGTTTTTAAAAAACAATTCATATGTATATACATATAACAATTGTTATGTATACATGGGACCACCATTTATTTAAGATTTAGTAGTTTTTACATGTGCGCGCGACTTTTGTTGTGTGAATATACATAAAAAAATAACACAAAATTTAGAAAAATAAACATCCTATCTATACATATGTATTATGTATTCGATTATATTTTTGGCTTATCTGTTCGTAGTAGAACTGAAAAATAAAAACAAACAATAAAATATATCATTAATACATAACCATTAACAAATCTTAAACACTATTAATAAAGAGATTGGATCCTTTAGATCAAGTTTCTATTACATGATAAGTAGCTCTCATCTAATTGTAAGATAGAAAAGGGCATTAAGAGAGGGGAAAGGGGCGATCCCCTGCCCTAATAATAAGGGATGGTGGGGTTAAGAACAGAGCCGGTTTGGTAGGTCTGATATATAACTAGTAAGTAACAAGGGCTAGAGTATAAACCACCCTACCAACTAAAGCTACACCATTATGTGTAAATGTTCTGTTCTTTCCTGTAATGGTTCCACTGTAATCAAATGAACACGTGTATTGTTTTAGAGAAATAGAAAGGAGAAAAAGACTCACATCTCAACCATGGAAGCAACCTCCTCTGGATCATCCACTGCATGCTCATTCAATTCTCCAACCTCTTCAGACCTAAAACCAACAAAAACCTGTTAAATTCACCAGAACCCAACACCCACCAAAATTGGGCTACAATCAATTTGCCCCATAACATAGTGGTTGGTGCAGCTTACGGAGTTGCTAATATTTTCTTCTTCTTCTTTTTTTGGCAGATGCGGGCAGTTTGTAAATTAGATTTTTTTTTTTTTTTTTTTTTAATTTGAAAATTTTGTGTCTGAATATTTGACACAACTTAATTTAAATAAATTTTAAGAAATTGGTTATTGAAAGTAATGAGAGACATGTTTTTAACTTTTAGTTTTTTATTATGAACTTTCAATTTGTTCCAAGGTGCATCAAATAGACTTCCGGTCTGGTTTGAGAATTAAATATTTTAGTTAAAAAATTAAAAAATCACTATAAGTTATTACATCACTCTTCCTATTTTTTTACATATTTTTTCATAAAAAAATAAAAATTTAACTGATAGTTCAATCAAAGCCGCTAATTAAACCATCACTCCACAATTTTTTTTTTTAAATTTTTTTTAATTCAAATTGACACTCTACAAATCAATAGTGTAAGTACGTACAAATGAGATCGGTGTTTCGCACACGCTCCTCCATTGCATAGGGACATGTTTTCTAAGACACAATTCTTACTTATATTCGTTTATAATTAATTTTTTTAATATTATATTTTAGTTATATATAAAAATAAAAATAAAAAGTGTATTTATTCATGTGGAAAGGAAAAAACATGCAATAAACAATAACTAAAAACTACTTTTCTAGAGAGAGAAAATTCTATGAGAGGAGAGAGATGCGGGGTGAGACGTCGGCGGGAAATTCCATCATCCGTACTCCGAGATGAAATGACAAAACTACCCATGTAGCTTCTTCGATCATGAAGGGTACAAAAGCAATTAATTAAGTGGATAATATGAGGGTAATTATGGAAATTACAGAAAAACATGAGGGAGGAATGAACAGAGTCCACTGAGAGCAAATTGCAACGAACGAATCCAAAGACCGAACAATAACGGAATAAACGTTACAGATCTGAGGGAATTTGGGATCTGAACGGCTGAGATTGTTCAAAAGTTGGGATAAAAACAAACGGATAATAGATCTAACGGTGGGAGACTTGTTTATACACAGAAATGGACGTCTTAGATGTTAAGTTCTGTTGAGTAGTGGGAGTACTGACCTTATCACCGCCATTGATGAGTTGTTGGAGCTCTGTAACTTGTCTGTTTCAACATTCCTGTTAATAGAAGAAACAAAATTCGAGAGTTAATTCGAATTTAGTAGGGTTTTGAGAACAAGAGCTGGTTCGGAGTCTCAGAAAAGCAATAAATTCTCGAATATATTGTGAAATGCACATTAATGGAGACGCCAAAAAGTGAATGTAAAGTGGTTTCTGGAACAATGCTTTGAGAATTAGGGGGAGAAAACAAGAAATTCTGCTATTATGTGAATAATGTAGTAGATTTTGTTGAAAAAATCCCTAATGCAGAGAAAATCCAAAGTCAGAAGCAAAAACGCAATAAGAACAATGAATTGGAGTTGAAAGTAGAAATCAACTACAGAGGACATATCATAATACATTCATTCTTAGAATGGTACAATGGTGACGTAGAGAGAGAGAGAGAGAGAGAATGAGAGGAGTTTTGGAGAGAGAAACAGTACCTGGGAGCAGAGTTGTTGTCTGTTCGTGTTATCGCCACTACTCCGACGAACAACAGAACGAGAAGAAGCAACGAACTCAGAGAAACCCACTTCTTCGAGACCGCCATTGCCATTACTCACCACTTACTCACTCTCTCTCTCTAAGATTTCACTTTCTCTCTCTCAAAGTGGAACTGAAAGAAAGAGAAAAAAAAAAAAAAGGAAAACAGAGCAGAGAGAGTGGAAGACGAAGCTCCAACGTAACCGTCTCTTTATAGACAGACCCCCACCAAAAAAATAAAACAGAGAATACAAACCTCTCTCGTTAAACGTTAACGGCCGTTAAAAGCAAACCAAAACTTAACTTTTTTTGACTCTAGTTAGGTTAAATTAACCAAGACCTCTTTTCTCTAAAATTAACCACCTCACTAACCGCTACTAACCGCCCTCTCTCTCTAAAACCGACGTTAGGTTGGTCACCATCCACTCATATTTATGATTCTGACACGCAACTAAGTTGACGGAGGAAGGGTCAATGGAATTTACGGTGTGCCACGTCAGGAGTCCGTAACGGAGGGATGACGGAATGGACATTACAGAGGGAAATAAAAGTCAGGTTGGTTTGGAGGTGATAATCAGGTGTGAATATTCAAATGGGATATGTAGATATCGTGGAATTATGTTTCCTTCGGACCGAAATTCTCGGCGGGTGTCATTGGGGAGGGTCAGAGGTTACGCCTGTGTGGTTTGAACGGATTGTTGTGTGGTGTATGGAATTTATTTCGGACTTTATTTATATCATTGGAGTCGTACAATTTTTAAAGCACATCGGATGTAATATTTGTAAAAAATTAAATTGATCGATATTAATAGACCCTTCATTAACTTGAATTTGTATATATAAAAAAATAAATATATAAGTATTAAACTGAATACAAATGTGTGTTGATGAAAGATTTATTGATATCCGATCAACTTGATTTTTTACAAGTATGTTCTACTCGATATTCTTTAAAAATTGAACGGTTCGGATGATGAAAATAAAATCCGAAATAATTTTTATGAGTCAAAAAACAGTCACTGTTATGCAAGCCGTACAACAGTGACTACAACTTCCATTCAAGATTATGATTAAAATAATTTAGAAAATCTAAAACAGACAATTTGGAGACAAATTTATTTTGTACAGTCACTATTATGTATTGCAAAATGTGATTGGGGATTCTGCTGCACATTTTGTGTATTTTATTGGGTCCATTTAAAGGTCCAATTCAATAATTTAAACCCTTCAAATTTTAGAAGATATCGAGTTTTGTGTATTACTGAAAAATAACTTTGTGTATTAGTAAAATAACTTTGTAAATATTGTGATAATTTTGTGTATTACTGAAAAATATAATAACCTCTATTGTTTTCATAATTTTGTGTATTACATATATTTGTACACGTTTGGAACAAGACGTAAGTGGTACACTTGAAAATGGCCTTATAATATTGGTCATAAGTAGGAAAATGTGTTTTCTTTCCTTAAAAAAAAAAAAAAAAAAAAGAGTAGGAAAATGTGTAGAAAGCAGTAGCACACATAAAAGTAGGAATTCATGCTGTCAAGTTTGGTAATAAACCTAACCTAGTCAAAGGAATCGACTTCTAAAGATAAGTCTTTCTACAAAAATTAGTCATGTTTGCAAAATATAAAAATCATAAAAATAGAGAGGCAAATGTCCAAAAGGAAATTCAATATCCAAACCAATTTGAGTTATATGGATTGGGTTGGTTTGGTACATAAAAGAACATGGTCTAATTTTAAGTTTTAAAATGACCAAATTAGTATGATTTTCCTTAGCTTAATCTGAGAACTAACCCCATATATATATAGAGTGCAATTTTATACATGGTTTACACATTCATATAATTAGTTGGGACTATTTATTACCGTAACATTTGTTACGCTTAATTATGCAATACACATTATGTTTTCCGATATTTCTATATATTAAATTGAGGTGGAATTGTGATTCCAACCTCAACCAATCTAGGTTGAACCAATTTAGATTGATTGGCTCTAATTGATGGTCTGGTTGCTTTTGAATCTAAAAAACTTAAAACTGGTCTAGTTGCTTTTGAATCTAAAAAACTTAAAACCAATCAAGATCAGTTTAATTATTAGTTTAGCTCTACCCCGCCTCAGCCATGCTCAACCCCATAAGTGCTACCTTACCAAATTACCAATATGATAAAATTCAAGTGGGAAAATAAGAACAAAATCAAAAAAATTGTCAACCTGTTCTCTTATTTTGAAGCGTGTGTTTTCGATTATTTTTGTAATAGTCAAAGAGTTTCATAAGGTTATAGTTATGGCTATCAAAACAAAGTGTTATTTTGTCATGATATATTGAAGGAGCTAAAAGTTACAATTTACACATCAACAAGGGTGAAAAAGAATGTTTTTCATTTTGATTTTATTTCTTTTATATGTTTAACCGAAAAAAATAAAGTAAAACTTTTTTCTTTTACCTATGAATCTTTATACTGTGTATTACAATTTCTCCTAGTTTTTGAGTGCACAATAGGAAAATTTTATCTCATCTACATTTTAGCACTCTTCATAACTGACTTGCTTACAAGAGTGTTAATTGTTGTGAGTTTCAAATCCAAACTTGATGAGCGGAAACGCAGCAACAACAAAAGCTCTGGTAATTATTGAGTATTTTAATTAATGTTGTACTAAGTCGTCATGTTATTATGGTGTTCTTGACATGTAAAAATATTTGTTACGAGATGGGTCGAGTCAACTTGACTCATTCTAATCGGCTGAGTGAGAGATAATAAGGTCAATCTCATTTATCACTTTTATATGTCTTCATTGATAGGCATTGCAAAAGCTCAATTTCAATTTTTTTTTTATTATTTTAAATTATATCATATGTACATTCAAAATATAGACATACCATGTTCTATTGTTTGATATATGATTCGCCAAGATGTGAGAATTGATGAGAGATTATACAATAATGCTAGACATACTAGATACAATGTTTGCATTTATATAGGTTTCACTATTCTGCATCGAGTTAACTTATATATTAATTAGCATGTCTAATATTATTTTGTAGATCATAACATTAAGAATCAATTGGACTTTGATACCCTCCATTTTATGTATATAATAGAAGATTTTTATTACATATCTAATGACTATGAAATAAGTACAAAAATTTGTAATTATTTTAACTTGAAAATAATTGCCATACTCACTATTAAATGATATAATAGAATCTCTCCATTATAAATATAGAATGAAAATGATCACAATTCAAATTGTAAATGAGGCTTTGTAAAATGATCACAATCCAAATTGTAAATGAGGCTTTGTAAACGACAAGTTTTGGCACTTATAACCTCAGTCCAAATTCAAAAGCACAATAAATCACAAGAACTTTGTCGTACATGTTATCACGCATTACCTTTTTTTCTCTTCATTGTGGTGTGCTTTTACCCTAACAACCTTATCTATAATTACAAATCTTTTTTTTTTTTTTAAAATTATTATTATTATTATTTATTTTTATTTTTTTAAGGACTAGATTGACTACAAATTAAGGAAACCCTGAGCAGTACCTAAAGAGGAAATGCTATGGTACAGCGCATTGGGCATTAATACTATATGCATCATATTATAAAAATGTTTAATTTTTGTTAATGTACACCTCCTACACCACTAAAACCTACCACTACCACTACACACCTCCACTACTCCTCACCCACTCCACCTACCACCTCCACTTTACCTACTACCACCACTCACTCTACACCTACTACTCCCAAAACCTCTCTATATATAGGACTTGTAATATACAGATAAAAATATCAATATACATAACATTCAATACATAAATCAATATACATAATTCATTCTCTCAGTATCTCTCTCTATCAATTTATCTTACAATTTTAATATAAAATTTTAACAAAATGTGTGACATCGTCATGATTAGCATAAGTTTGAATATTTTTGTTGCGTAAATTTGTATGAGATTACATATTTTATGATTGATGTTACAAAATTATATATTTTTATGATAAGATATATATGGTAAGCATCGTAGAGACTGCGCCCCATAGATTTTCCCATAAAAAGACGTGCATGAGAGAAAATGCTGCCTTCTACCGTTTCTCATATTATAGGCTAATTTCTTGAGAGATTGTGAAAAAATTGAAGGGTAAATTATATCGGTAGTTTTTATATTTTGTTTTTTGTGTTATTTTAATTCATATATTTTTAATTAACTTAATTTTGATTCTTAATTTTATATTTTGAATTAACTTGATTTAATTTATAATGTTGTGTTGTTGATTTCGAGAGAAAATGACCACTGAATTAATTGAGATTAACTAATTAAATTAAGTAAATTTATAATTTTGTCCTTAAAAATTTGATACATGCCATTTATATGTATATTTTTCATAAAAGAATTATTAATAGTTATAATTAATTGGACTAGACTAAATTGAGACAAACTCAAAAATTTTAAATCAAAATCAAATCAATTGTAATTATAAATTCTATAATGATACAATGATCAAAGTATAAAAATTACCATCTTAATAATGCACTAAAAAAAAAGAAAGAAAGAAAAAAACGAATGACATAGAATTCATGCTCCAAAAGTGACTTAAATATTCCACATCCATCATGTCATTTCCCTAACTAATGGGTTCTGGTCAATCAAACCAATTTTGCCAGCAATTTAGTTGGTTACATCTCTTTGAAATATAAAAGTATCAATCAAAGAAGTCTTTTTTGTTAACCTTAAAGAGTTTTTACTTTTTATTGTTAAAGGTGTTAGCCAACGACTTAAATCTTTTTTTTGGCAATACTAGAAATTTAGGATCAAGTATTACCTTTCTTTGGGTCACGGCACTCATGAGTCATTCTGTGCTCCAAACAAACGGGCTAGATGATAAGCAAGTTGATAACGCAATTTCTATATTTGGTGTGGGGATATATTTTTTGGGTAGTTCACGGAGCATATTGTGGAAGTTGTTATGATATTATAGAGATGTGGTGTGGTAATATCGGAATTCAGAATAAAAAGATAGAAGACAAGAATTCTAGATGAGTTGAAGCACTCTGTTTGGATAGAGATGAAACTGATCATTCTTATCTAAATGAGAATCTAAGATAAGTATTATTCTTGAATTCTATGAAATAAGATTTCTAAAGAACGAGGGCACTCTTGATTA